GAAATAAAATTCAAACGTTTATTTCTCATTCCATAACGGTGGTTTACACATAATGCTGAAGTGACATAATTTTCCGAGATTTTTCCTCATTTTTTAATAAATAATACTTTTTTATGCATTTTGTTGTAAAATGACAAATTCCTAAATTTACAGCCAGGCAAGAAAATGCTTCTTGAGATGCCTACATGTCAGGGCCCGCGGAACGGCGGGGATCGGGAGCCTCCAGCTCCCTACCCCCCCCCCCCCCCCACGTTTTTTGAAAAAGTATATTAAAGGTCAGGCGCGCCGGAAGCAGTTTGGGATTGGGGGGGCAAACATTCCAGGGGGCTCACCTTCCGAGGGCAGTGACGTAATGAGAAAAAACGTTCGGAAGGGGGGGGGGGGCAGACGAAAAATCTGCATCACCACCAGTCTTACACGTTACATGTAGGTCCCGCGGAACGTTTTTCAAAGTGAAGTATTAACGATCAGGTAGAGCGTAAATTGGCGTGGGGTCCAGCCTCGGCAGGGTGTCAAGGGGCTGAGCCCCCGGAAGCTCAGGGATTTTAGGTATTTAATTACGGTTAGATGAGCATCCAGGGGCCTCTTTAAGGCCATTGACGTGTTCCAGAGGGGGGGGGGGAGCCCCCAGAAGCTCAGAGGTTTTAATATTTAACTACGGTCAGATGAGCAACCAGGGGCCGCCCTAGGGCACTTGGTGGGGTCCAGGGGGCAGGGCCCCCGGAAGCTCAGGGGTTTTAGGTATTGAATAATGGTCAGATGAGCATCCAGGGGCCCGCCTTATAGGGCCCTTGGTGGGGTCCAGGGGGCAGAGCCCCCGGAAGCTCAGGGGTTTTAGGTATTTAATAATGGTCAGATGAGCATCCAGGGGCCGCCCTAGGGCACTTGGTGGGGTCCAGGGGGCAGGGCCCCCGGAAGCTCAGGGGTTTTAGGTATTGAATAATGGTCAGATGAGCATCCAGGGGCCCGCCTTATAGGGCCCTTGGTGGGGTCCAGGGGCAGAGCCCCCGGAAGCTCAGGGGTTTTAGGTATTTAACTACGGTCAGATGAGCAACCAGGGGCCGCCCTAGGGCACTTGGTGGGGTCCAGGGGGCAGGGCCCCCGGAAGCTCAGGGGTTTAGGTATTGAATAATGGTCAGATGAGCATCCAGGGGCCCGCCTTATAGGGCCCTTGGTGGGGTCCAGGGGGCAGAGCCCCCGGAAGCTCAGGGGTTTTAGGTATTTAATAATGGTCAGATGAGCATCCAGGGGCCCGCCTTATAGGGCCCTTGGTGGGGTCCAGGGGGCAGAGCCCCCGGAAGCTCAGGGGTTTTAGGTATTTAATTACGGTCAGATGAGCATCCAGGGGCCCGCCTTAGAGCCCTTGGTGGGGTCCAGGGGGCAGAGCCCCCGGAAGCTCAGGGGTTTTAGGTATTTAATTACGGTCAGATGAGCATCCAGGGGCCCGCCTTAGGGCCCTTGGTGGGGTCCGGGGGCGGAGCACCCGTAAGCTCTGGGGTTTTAGGCATTTAATTACGGTCAGATGAGCATTTTTTATGCCTTATTTGTGACATTGGCAGGTCACTTATTTTTTCTCTCCGTCTTTCTTTCTTTTTCTCTTTAACATACTTTTTCAAAAAGTGAGGGGGGAGGGGCTCGAGCCCAGCCACTTTGCAGACCATGTCATAAAGGCTTCTAAATAAGCGTATTTTTCGCCCGACTGTAATTTGGGAATTTCTTATTTTCCAACAAACGCATAAAAAGGTATGACTTAAAAAAAAATGGAGAAAAAATACCGGAAAATCATGTCATAACAGCAACATGTGTAAATCACTGGTATCGTATAGATATACCCCCCCCCCCCCCCCCCCATCAGTACGCCAGCGTTCAGGGGCTCATGTCTTCTCACCCCTATAACAAAACCAAAAAACAGAGACACGTTTTCCCATTCTCGCACAATATGTCCACGATATGCGCGTATCGCTATTATAAACCGTATAGGTAGCATGCGCAATGTTTATAAAAATTTAATTCCTGTGAACTTTCCTTTTCTTTGAATGGAATGGTATATGTGCTTTAATTCAGGTTTTTATTATTGTTATGTTCTTTTGGGTTAAAAATACAAACCATGATTATTCCTTTACCCCTTTTTTTTATTTTTTTTTGGAGGGGGGGGGCGTTTTGGGGGGGCAAAAATGCGTTTTGCCCCCCCACTTTTTTGACTGGGGGGGCAACTGCCCCCCCTGCCCCCCCCACTTCCGGCGCCTATGTTAAAGGTACTATGTCCCTTTTGCAGCCAACCTCAAATGCTGTACTACTTTGCAGGAATTATGAATATGTCATGTATGTCCTATCTGTGAAATTTAAACGTTTGCAGTGTCCTCATATTCAAATTATGCAAGGAAACGCGTTTACTTGCTAGACTTCACTGTCAGACACTATTGAGTGACTGACTGGCTTTTTTTCTTCTTTGGTAATAGCATACATGAAAAGAGTTGTAAAGGTACTACATGAGCATTTGTCTACACCAATAACCCACTTCTTGTGATGGCCAAGATTAAACTGATTGAATCTTTGCGCAGCATAAAACGTATTACCATTCGGTGCAATTATTGTCTGAAAATCAAGACTATTACTTTTGGGCTCTATAGCCCTAAAGTCGATTTGATAACTAATAGTCATTATTTTCCCACTTGAAGACTTTTTTAAGCCCCACATTTTTTAGGGAAGTTCTAAATTAGTATTATCTTTCAAATGCAGTTGAAATTTAACTTTTTCATTTTTTTGGCCTGCAAATGGGACATAGTACCTTTAAAGAGAAATAGAAAGAAAGAGAGCAAAAACGAAAGAATAGTTAACTGCCAATGTCACAACAAAATAAGTATAAAAAAATGCTTATCTGACCGTAATTAAACGCCTGAAACCCCTGAGCTTCCGGGGGCGGACAAGGTATCAAAATAATTATGTTCATCTGATCGCAGGCGCATAGCCAGGGGACGGTGGGGGCGGCCAACAAAAAAAAAGAGGAGAGAAAAGGAAGGGGACGTAGGAAGAAAAAGGAGCAGACAAAAAACATTTTTGAAGGATTAAGAGTCGAGAATGGTAATACGAATCGTCTTCTTTCTCCAATGATTTAATGAATCGTAAAAGCTTCTGCGCTTTGCGCGGGAGGGCAGCAACTGAATTCAGACGAGGAATATTTTCGAGAACGGTACAACGAATCGTCTTGTTTCTCTCATAATTAAATGAAATGTCAAAGCTTCCGCGCTTCGCGTAGGAGGTGGGGGGAATGAATTTTGACAAGGATTAAGAGTCAAGAACGGTACAACGAATCGTCTTCTTTCTCTAATGATTTAATGAAACGTAAAAGCTTCCGCGCTTCGCGGTGGAGGGAGGGGGAAAATCGCCCCTACCTGCACCCCCCATTACGTCAATGCTGGTCCCCATTACGTAATACCAATATTTGGCTTGCATAATTTCAAATTTGGCCCCCCCCCCCCCCCCCCCCCCAAGAAACCCTGGATCCGCGCCTGAGATATAGGCCTATTCGATCATGACTGTAGTTGTTCATTGTATTTACGAATGGAAAGCGGAACAAAGGAATTAAGGAATCGTGAAGTTCGAGCCTTCATATTTATCTGTACTGCCTTCCCGATCGCTTTAGGGTATAGCAAGGATAAAGGGGTGTGGTTATTATTTTCCAAAATCTGTGATACCTGTTTCAGAATTGTATGAACGCATTTTATGTTGTGTTTGATGATGAGTATGTCGTGTTAGATTTCATATAAAACCTGTGCTTGGAGTCACACAAATAAACATGGTAGAAGTTCAATGCTTTGATTTGTATTCTTTATTTGCCGGGTTTCATATCATGTCAATGATAATAAATGATCTGTGCTGTATTATGGGCTTATTAGAATGCCCTCACTGGTCACCTTTAGGATTATGGACAAAACAATTATAAAAAACAGTCGATTGTGAAGTAAATTCTTGCGCATGTCTGTCATGTATGGGACCTGAACTTAAAGGGCAAGTCCACTCCAAAAATGACTCACTTTCAAAAGAAGCATGCAAACAATCAGACAAACCAATCAAAAAAAGTTTGAGCTAAATCGGATATCTAATAAGAAAGTTATGAATTTTTAATGACATGAAAAACTTTGAAAATCATAAGACTGCGACGTCATTGCCTCACTATCCACTAATTGTTTTCTTTATATTGATAATATAAAGTTCGAATTTTCCCCCTAAAAATCTTATTTCCTCACACCAACATCCAAGTTATATTGACAGTAATATGTTTTTGTGTTGTTGCACTAATATATAGTAATTTTGTTCACTTACATCATGAAAAATGTGGATTTTGATAAACTATTTATATAAAAATCAATGATTATGAATATACAATATTAAGAAAATAGTATAAATTCTTCAAAGTTCATTAAAGATTTTGTGATATGTCATGCACGCAATATGATTCAAATCATATAACCTACATGGGCAAAGGCATAGGGAATCAAGTTTTTTTTTTTATAAAAAGGGAAATTAATGGGATAAAAATATAAAAAGCAATTGATAAATAGTGAGGCAATATTACGTCACAAACTAATAACCAAATTGGCAATTTGTGTAGTGATTTTCGAAGTTCCATAGTAAGATGGGGTGGGGGTGTGTGACAGCTAGTGTCCCCCCTTGAAAATCGCACCCCCCCCCCCCCCCCCCCCCCCCGCTCTAGATCCCCCACTGTGTACACTCGAGGGTATCCCCTGGCGTATCCCCCTGCGGTTTGACGGCTATACACGTCGATCTACGTATTTTCAGTTCTTGTGGGTCGACGACAAATAGACGAATTTCCTTCATGTATGCCGCCCTCTGCGGCCTATCCCCATGGAGATACAAATCAATACAGGATGGCTCGCTCTAGCTCTGCATGGTTACAATGCATGCATGATCGATGTACGGTACATGAGTTTCATGTTTGTTTGTTGTTGTTGCAACTAAACGTGTACGTGTACCGCGGGACGACAGACGCTCAGTACTAGGCCTACATGTATGATCTGTAGGTACTGAAGAGTGGACTGATTGTCAATTTCAAGAATAGAGTTGCTCAATATTTCATTAAGAGTCTATAGCCTAGACTATAACGAAACAGGAGAAACCATGAGTGCACCAAGTACACCTCCCTTTGACAACCCACTTCTAAAAAAGGTGAATATTATTCTTTATTTTCTGTTTAGATTCTAGCCTAGACTAAGTTAGACTGTACTCTTGTCTTGACTTGTCTCGAGTCTCGACTTGAATTGAGTCATACAGCACTGTCATGGCATTGGCATTCCTAATCCTCTAGTCTTCAAAAGGACTTTACATCAAGTCTGATCAGTCCCACAGTTCTTTTGACAAGACAGGGCCCTCATCTGCCGGATATTTTGCAGAGTAGGCCTATCTTTTAAAATTATTCTCACTTTAATTTGACCAAAACAAAAACCACAACAAAAAATAACATCGCATAGGGGTCTAGATCTAGATCTAGACCTAGTAAAATCGCATAGATCTAGGGTCTATGAATATGTAAAAAAATTCTCTGATATTGTACAACCTTTGTCCCGCTAATTTGAATAGAAAGATCTCTTTTTCCTATGCTGTATTTCTGGGGTAATTAAGTTTTTTGTTCAAGAATATGTCGTCAGACTCAGCTCTAACCGAGTCAGAGCCAGAGGGCTCGTGTGTAAAAATATCACAATTTTGGAGGTAAAAATACCAAAATGTCAGAGGTAAAAATGTCAGATGTCAGGGTAAAAATAACTCTGACATTTAGACCCTACTAGTCTACCTCTGATTCTGAATCTGATATTATTACCTCCGAGTCTGAGTCTGACATTTTTACCCCTAACAACGTGACACTGCTCTGCCATTTTTACCTGGCACCATTCTAATACTAGTAAAAACTGTTTAACCCTCGTCGCAAGCTAAATGTCAGAGGCTGTTTTTTCAGTAAACGTGTTATCGAGCTATGGAATAAACTGCCAGAACCTCTCTAGTCACTGCTCGCAACATAGGTATCTTTAAAACTGGTCTAGATAAACACTGGCTTGTTAAACAATTTCATATAACCTGACATCCACGCATTACGTCTTAAGTCGCATACTGACAATTGAACTTATATCTTGGAAGACGACCGAGAGACCTACAGGACTACCTCACTCCCGTATACCGATGATGATGATGATGATGATCTCCATAAATTCAGCATGTTTTAATTGGGTTAAACTTAATTTTGTTCAGATCAAAGCCAAAAGAAAAGGGTCTAGATTTGTTTACATAAATCTAAAATGTCACAATCTATTTCATAAGAGTCATACTGTCCTAGAATTATTTTGTTATCAATAGACTAAACAATTTGTTTTGGTTCTAAATGTCAGTCTCAACTTGGAAGGCCTTTACAACGAGGATACAGTCTTCCTGGTGATGTCAACTTCACATATGGGCGCCCCAACGTGACCAAGGACAATGGTGCCTCTGAAGCCCTATCTGGTTGGTCTCCCTCAGGACCCCTTATGCCTATCACTGGCCATACAGAGCGTAAGCCCGAGAGGGACTTCATCGCTCTCAACAAAGCATGTATTGGTGCCGGGTTGGTTACAGCCAGTGATCAGTTTCAGTACAGAGCAACACATGATGTCAGAAGGAGGATATCAGATGAAGAGAAGAGCAAGTCCAAAGTGAAGAGAATACCAGCATCAATGACGTTTGGCATCTCAACGAGGTACGAAAATACATTACTTGATTTATTCTTTTTATTGTTTATCATATGTATATTGCTAAAATTCTTTTTCAGTTATAAGTTTAATAAACATCTTAGCCACACTTCCCTACATTATTGCTAGATCTAGTCTTAGCTTTTGTTATTTGTGTGAGACAGTCTGCAATACACGAGTGCAATTTGAAAATGATTTAAAAAAAGGTTATTGACCTATCTTTTATTGATGATCAATATAATTCTTTGACCTTGTGTATTCTTTCATAAAAATGTGTTATCAAATATTGTGAGTTTTAATTAAAGTATTGTTTTAACTTTGTCGCAGAATTTAGCTGGTGTTTTTATAAATATGATTATTCTGTTAATACAGTTTTATGAATTGAAGGTTTCACAATATCTACACTATGTATTCTAACTTCATGGTACAAATAATAAATAAAGTGATTTTCTTTTCCCTTGTATTATCAACAATTAATTGTCACATCAAGAAAATCTTTAAACTGTATAATAGTTATATACTTTTTCATGTGGAGTCAATTCAAATGTATTGTGAATATGCATAAATAAATAAGTATTCAAATATTCAAATTCACGTACACATCCCACACTAGTCGGCAGTCCTTGCTGCTTGAGCGCAGACTGTGGGGAGGAAGAATGCCAAAGCATTTCAAAAATGTGGGAACAATGAATAACATTAATAACTAAACTCAATCGTTACTGAATTTTGTTTAATGCTTTGTTTCCTAGTTTCCTCCTCCGATCATTCATTTTATTTTGGTATCTCCTTTTCTCTTCACTCTAGAGATATCAAACTATAAACAAACCCCTGCCAAATATAGTACATCATTGTGTATAATCGATAAAAACATTCATCATAAGAATAATCTAATCAAACTATTTCTTATTCCATTTCAGGCCATCAACTCCTGTATTTGATTTACTGGAGCACAAGTATCAAGACAGATGGTTACAAGAAAGGAGAAAGACAGAATTGACCAAGAGAGAAAGACATCAACAAAAGGTGAGTTTGCTTTCTCAAATTCAGTCTTGTACAGATCAGAACTTATAAAAAAAAGGTTGCAGTGATTACTTACTTTGTACCACTATTATCACTTTTCAAGGAATAGTATATCTCTTTAACCCTATGGTATAGAAAAAAAGCAGGAAGATTTAGGAAACATTTGAAGATATTGATAGTGATTATTTATTGTTAATAAATAAAACACAAACCAAACTTTTCCCATATCCCTATTTATTTCTCTTTTACTCTATACTGAACTTGTATTTACAACAAATTAATTATCCTAAAAGATGACAGGCAAATAAAAGACAATTTTTAGAATTGAATGAGTTTTAAACAGTGTGTTTCCATGCATGGAAATAATGTAAATTATAGATGTATGAAAGCTTGTTTAGTGTTTATACACCTGTTGGGTTCCGTTCAGCATTCATGTAAATGGAAGTACATGTACCTGGTTACGATTCTCACATTTCAGCCTCATCAATTTAGTTGTGACTCTAATATCAATGAATGATTCCCTAAAAGTTCCATTGTAGTTTACATTTGTGAAAATAACAAACTTGTAGTCTATAGGTAAACGGTTATTGAGTATGAAGTAAAAGGATGAGATGAAAGCCCGCATATGAGGTTTGCATGGAATCTAAAAGGGACTTTGGTTCCATGCACACCACGATTCTATGCGAGTGTGAACACAAGTTCTTACTCTTCACTGAGAATATATTTAATTGCAATATCTCTTAGTAGACAATACATTTGAAGCTTGTATTTTGAATACTTAGTACATGTAGTATAGCCAGATGGAACCCCTTACATCACAAGCAAAACCTGGTTTGGTACAATGTAATAATCATTATTTCAATGGAAAGTGCTTATATAATAATTCATAAAAATCATTCAAGAGTGTGACAATATGTAGACACTTTTAGGACTCTCTTCTAAATAATCTTTTTCTTCTCTTCACCCATTACAGCAAAACATGAATCGAGGAATCTACGAGACACGTGCATCCCTCCTGAGGAAATTCTGCCCCCCTGTGGAGGACCCTCCCCTCTGGCAGATGTCTCGATTCTCCCGTCAGCTTCCCCACCTGGAGACCTTCCGCTCACCCAATGCCCACCATGAAGCCTTTGCCCACCATGCCACCGACTGCACAGCTCGCACTGGAACATTCGGACATGGAATATACGAAAGTGCCAAGAGCTAAAGAACTTTTACACAGTTTAAAAAGAACTCATTTAAAGCCTAGAATACTCTGTGGGGTGATCATTCTCAAAACATGTACAAAAGAAGAAAAAAAAAGGAAACGTTTCAATTTCTGTCCTGTACGTATCATGAAATATCAAACTTGTGTATCATAATTTTCAATTTTAGCAGAATTACTCAAGGACAACTATTCCACTGTGTTGAAAGATGATTTATCAAACTAAAAGCTTTATTAGTGCCTATTTCATTTGTCATATCATCATAGCATACAATTAATTTTGTAACATATTTTAAAATTAAATATGACTTTGAGTTTAGTCTTGTACACCAACAAAATTGCTTATTCCTCAAAGATTAACAACTACAAATGAAAATTGGAAGAACAATAAAATATCAGCAAATCCCACACTATTGTTGCTATATAGCAGCACATTTGAATATGCATGAATCTTCTTACTATAAATATAAAACATGTACTATTAATTTTTGTGCCATATATATGTGTATATTCCCTCCATTAGAAATTCTAATGCATGTACATCCAAACACTGTACCACTCAGATTCGCGACAAAAAACTTTTGCGAACTTTAAGCAACAGCAATTTCTATGGCAAGAAGTTGTTGTGTTGGTTGTGATTCAATTAAACCATTGAAACCTTAAAGAGAAGGTCGAGTATTGGGAAAAGGTGAACAATAATTTGTGAGCGTTATCTTGTATTATTCAAGTGTTCCCTGAAAAGCATGGCTCTTCAAATGCCTTAATATTCTAAATCATGCAAATCGGGACAGATGTGTACCCCACATGTTCATATAGTCCCATATACTTCTTTCTGTACGTGTACAGTGTTTGTAACTTTACCAAGACTGGGTCAAATTTCTTATGATTCTGATGATTCCAGAACACACCAATACTTACATGCTAGATGATGAACCTTTTCTGATCGATTTCACACCGTTTCTTTCTCAACTTTATCTTTAAGCACTCATGATCATGACATGTTTCTTATTCTACAGTACACTTTCTATGAACGAATGACTGAAACTCACGCTGGCTGTGAACCTTACAAGATTTGAAACTGCATTCAAGTCTATTATGTACTGCCTTAATTATTTTGTAATTTCAATTTGCTGTATAACATCTTCCTATTTTTCAATACATAATAATGAATTTGTATTACTTTACATCATTATGCAAACTGAATGCCACTTGAAACTATTAATGATCATGCAAATATATATTACTGTGTAAATACAAGTAACTCCGTCCGCTGTGTTTTTCTGCAGTTTCTTCTATGCACATAATCTTATGCAATGATCATGTCAAGATTTATATATATTGTTTATGTTGTAGAGTAAAAAAATAAACTTTTTGAAAGCATGTAAGAATGTAGCATCATCGTCATTTATTGTAAGTTATGTTTTAATGAGGGCTTGCAAGCGATTTGTTTGCAGCCAGAAAGACATTGACTCAAGTCATTTTACACCGAGTAAATGCCTTCTGGCTCCTTACAGACATAATCATCACTTATAGGCCTGATAATTACCTGATTTAAGTCGGGGGGGGGGGGGGTTTGTTAGATGCCATTCCCCCCCCCCCCCAAATCCTTTTTTTTTTTTTTTACTCAAGGGGGGGGGGGGGGGGGGAGTGGTTGAGGGGATTTCTTTGTTGATTTTTAGAGCTCACTATCGCCCCTGCACTTATTCCTAAGGACTCTTATTCATATTAACAATATCATTAAGTGTTCACTTCTTTGATAAAATAACTTGGGAGGTATTCCTACAAACCAGGTCTAGTTCAAGTCGGCTAAAAGGCTGTTATCTGAAAACTTGTGTTAGAGAAGTAACGAGTATCGTTAAAGGAAAATCCAATCTAAATAGCAAGTTACCCTGAGAGTGAAAGTTTGAACAAAACTGGACTTGTAGTTATAAGAATGTTGTGAATTTTTGAAATTGTTTTCATTTTATGTATCGGAATTTAAAATGGACTGAATCCATAATAACACTGCGATGGTAGTGCTGGGCAACGTACGTTCTCACTTGTTCCAGTACGCAAAATGAATAAAGTGTATTGTGTTTTTTCCAAAATGTATGATGACTCAGGAGGCCTTTTTTTTAAAAAGAGGACCTGTAATACTAGATGCTACCTATAATATATCTTAAATTATGCTCTAAAGAAAAAAGTGCTTAGAGAAGAAAAAAAGAGATTTATTCAAACTTTTGCTAATCTGATTCTCTTATTTTTCTGCTTTATAAAAATGAACTCATTACAAAGGTTGGATTTCCCTTTAATACGGAGGATTCACAACACATAGGGCCATCTAGAGTCACCAGTGTTTAGTCGATTTCATGTGATGCATTATGGGAAAAGGTAGAAAAAATAGCTGTGGCACTAGGATGTACCCTTAGGGAATACAGGGATTTAATCAGAATGAAGGTTGGGGAAGATTTGAAAAATTATTGGGGGTAAGATTTTGAGCTTTTTTTAGTAAGTTTGGTTTCTTTTGGGCCAAAATTGACCATTATAGACCATTTGTTCAGGGGTAATTTTTACAACCATTATCATTTGCAAAGGAGATTTGATGGGCTTATTCTGTGTAAAAATCTGCCCTGATTGACCTGCACCCATCAAGAACAATAAAGTCGTTTTGGTCACTTTAAGGCCAAAACATTACCATTTGCATTGATTTGTGTCCAAAATCAGGCCAACTCTTTAGTCAGAATCAGTTATGGGTGGGTTTTGACATCTAAGTTTAATATAAAAGAGCATGCTTATATCAAAACATTCACTCCAATTTTGTCATTTCGATCTGTGGCTAGCGTTTTGCTGTGCCTCACTGGTGCTTGTGCAAATGTGTCTCTTTGGTATGCAGTCTTTGACTATGACTTATCCTAATTTAGACTGGGAATTTAGACTTATTATGACATATTTTTACGAACATAAAAAAATATTACCTGTTAATTCAATAACAAATTTGGATGAATTATTTGTTAATGTCTGTACATTAGTGGCTGGTACAAAGATGCCTGGACACATGCGCAACCTGTGTGTATAATTTTCAATGGTTTGACTTATTAGTCGCCCAGCAGGTAATGTTATCAAACAATTTTTTTCAAAATACAGCCCCTGATAGCAATTGTTCTACATATTTATTCATTACATTCTCATTTATTGCTGTGATACTTTTTGTGTGTTAGTGGTACTAGACACGATTAGCATTAAATGCTATTTTCTGGTCCCATTTATCCTTTCAATGTTAATTAATCATTCACATTTGATTGTTATATTGATGTATTTTTTGTTTTGGATAATAAACTTCAAACTCAAACTCAAACTCAAACACATGTTTGTAACTTACAAAATCAGAAAATAGACTAAAACCAAGAAAATTATTCTTCTGTTTATTTTTATTATGTACAATTCTGCTCACATATTTACATGGCATGATAAAGGAGTAAACATAGTGCCGTCATCAGACTCGTATTATAACAACTTTCCAGGTATAATTTGTCCTTAAAAGCATGATTCACTTCATGAACTTCTTGATATCGCCAATACGCCCAACATGCCCAGATGTAGCCTCTAAGAAGTAATTTCGAGCCACTCCCTGGACTTACATACTTCCAGTGTATGGCAGCACGCACGGTACACATATCATGCATGCGCAATGTATGTACATGTACGGAAAATCCTTCTGGAAAACTTTAAATGATGGGCCTAACTTTTGAATACCTCGCCAAAACATAGTATGTTCGTTGGTCAACCAATGAGCTAACGCACTAGGTGGTGTAGTACAGTGTATTCACATACATTACAACAACCAAAGAAAGTTGATGTTACTGTTTCTATGTTTCTACTTGCTCTTGCTCATTACACATCCAAATATCTTATATTTAGTGTTTGTGTTAAGGTTTAACCATATTTTCATACATCTTTTTGTATTGATCCACTCTTCAAAGCTTAACAAGGGAAACACCCTCGGCGGTCCCGCCTGCATTACGCAATTCGATATGATGAAAAATTGAAGTTGGAACATTATTTATAGGCAGGGTGGCCCATTAGCAGGCCCCAAAAAATGAAATCCTCTGAATATAATCAGCATTTTGAAGTGAATATTGACTAAGGATCATGAACAAATAACAAAAATTGATTCATTTATTCTCATATTAAGTTGAGAAAACATGATCCAAGTCTACCGACCTAAACTAACCTTTGACCTTGTGACCTGGAATTTGTGTCATATGATGTGTGATACTTGATAACCCTTGGGTACAAGTTTCATGGAATTTGAACAAACACTTTTGAAAATATGCTAAAAATTCAAAATCTTGATGTTGATGCCACAAAAAAGTCTAACTTTGTTGACCTAAAATGATCTTTGACCTTAACTTTGTGAGCTAAATTCTACTCACATGATTGTGGATACTTGATTACCCTATAGTCCAAGTTCCATTGACTAAGAACTTATACTTTCAAAATCATATCAAAAATTCAAAAACTTAACCTTAGGTTAAGTTTTTGATGTTGACGCCGTCGTCGCCACCGGAAAAGCGGCGCCTATGTCTCGCTTTTTTGCTATGCAGGCTAGACAAAAATTGTGATAAATCATTGTCACAATCAATGCCGGCATGCACAGCGGAGCCACACCAACTCGGTTACCAACTATTCTAGAGTACATTGTACATTTGAAATGGGGCCTCAACGTAACATACAGGTATTCTTAACATATTGGCGATAGCGAGAATTGTCTTAATGTCGTGTGTGATAGACATCCTCTAGTCAGCACAAGCATTGTCCACATATTTGCAATACATTGAACAAAATTCCAATTCTCTACAAAGATCTGTGAAAGCAAACATCACATCACACCAATACTGCATTGGTGAAATGAAGAGGATTTTTGAAATAAGGTGCTGGGCTTGCTAGGAAATCCATGCAATTCTGAGATTAGCAACTTATAGAACATTTTTTAATCGCCTTTATAAAGTGGCTTCTATGAGAAGGTGCTCAAGCATGTACCCTATTTTTACTGTACAAAATCTATGACTGGCGTGCAACCCCTGTAAATTGCAACTTTAGCTGGATTGAAAGTGTACATAAATGTCTTGCAAACGGACATTAGAAGCAGCGACAGTGCTTGAGAATGGTTCACACATGGGTTTCATGGACGGCAGCATTCATGATAGGGTTCCACAGTGCGGAAGCATCGCCATGTCGGAGGAAGGTTGTCCTTGATGTACTTTCCACATAGTCTACATGGTGTTGAGAAGAGCTTGGAGAAACTGTTCAGCCAGTGCTGAAAATAACAAAGTACAATGACTCATAAATATGACTTACTATAAAGGTTTTGTGTATTTTAATCCATGGATAGAAATGCACTGTGGTGAGCTTCTTACTAACCAAATTCCTTTATTGAATCCTGGACCCAACACTACACCTAACTGTTCCCCCAACAGCCTTTTCAGTTATGGCGTGGTAGACCGCCGTAAAAAAGCTGCCATGGTTTTTTTACGTGTAAATGATCGGCAACTTTGTGCAACAAAGGACTTGCCCGTGTTCACTAATCTCTGTGTTATAAGATACAAACATGCGAAGCGTATTATAGACATATTGACTGCTATGAGAGGCATAGCTTTGTCTATAGGCTCAAGGGGACGTTACATCCTGCTATGACCCGAAGCGCACCACGGGGTCAAAGCAGGATGTAACGTCGCAGAGAGCCAGTATAGAAACAGCTAAGGCTCAAACATTAAAACAGTCCATATATATATATATATATATACCGAATTCACTAAATAGTCTACAAAGAACTCTTGCCTTATAATCCTTTTCTTGATTAAAGATTGGTTAAAACATTACAGTTAATCTGAGACACCGTCTGTTAATCTTCGCTGGAAATTTGCCTGAATTTTTACGATCATTCAGCAATCGCACACATACTGTATGGTTATGAAATCTTACCATGAATGATCTAAATGAGAGATCCTGCATTGTTGGTAGATAATAACGTAATGAAGCTGCCGTAGCATGTTCTGTGATCTGTGGGCAAAAGGAAAAAAAAGATGGTATTGGACAGTTAGTACAGATTGGCAGCACTTTATAACTCACATGGGATTATGTGAATATTAAAGAAATAAATGATGTCTTTGAAGAAGAGGGATAGAAGGACAGTACGATGAAAAGAGAATAGACTCAAGTATTTTTGGTTACAACAAAGAATCCACTCTCTACTTTTTCTTCCTTCTCAATATTCACATTTTACTATCATGTGAATAGAAAGGAGATCAATTTGCAGAAGGAGGGAGAAAAGGAGAAAGAGGGGGAAGCAAATTCGAGGGGTACGCACAAAGATTGTGCAGGCACACTGACGTTAATTTAAAGTTATCCACATATAAAGGGAAAGTCCACCATGATGTTTAAATTAAAGCAGAAAAATAAGAGAAAAAAATTAGTAAAGGTTTTTGGCAATATCCGATTAAAAATAGGAAAGTTATCATTAGTGAGATTGAAATTGGCAACAGTGTTGCGAGCTCCTCTCCAATTAGCTCTGTTCTACAGAAAATTTCATAAACTCTCATTTTCTTAGTTATTAATGACACAATAGATTCAAACAGGGGTTGGATAAAAACACATTTTCTATAATTATATTTAGGGTGAATGTATGGTTGAAAATTATCTTCTGGGACTTAATGTTTGATTGACCACAACTTGAAAAATACATAAATTTTGTATTTGTAATTGGTTTTTGCTCAAACTTTCACTGACCTACAATTCCCTTATTTTGTTTGCATCTATTAAAACCAAGTTGATATCAGGGTGGATTTCCTCTTTAAGAACTCACCTTTTGAAATACTTCATATTTTGATGCGGTCCACAAATCCAGCTATAACATAAAGAGAGACAGAGATTAAAATGTTAGAAAATTGCTTATACATCAACTCTTTCATAAACTCTAAAGTAAGATAAGTGCCCAGGCTTCACAATAATGCTAGAAAATGTATGTGTGTGGGTGGGGGGGGGGGGGGGGGGGGGGGGGGGGGTAAAGTTACAAATGAGACCGGATGTCAACTTGTACTAATTGATTACCCCACTTTTGCTGTGATTTTCTGATAGTAGGTTTAATCATTCTGATAAATATACAACAGGGCTCTCGTATTCACACTAAATATTGAGCGACATAGCAAGTATTCTGCCAAATTTGACTTTTGGTGGTCATTTAGAACTGCACAAATTCATATGTAATAATGATAAAAGTGAGATATTTTAAAGTCTCAACTTGGGCAACGAAGGAAGAACTTTTTGGTTTGCCCAGTTGAATTTAAGATGATAAATGATACCCAGGCTACTCTGAACTTGATGCCTTGTACATCAGAAAAAAGAAGAGCATGACGTAAAGTCCTCGTAGCAAAATTGAAATACCCCCTTGCTTGGATGGAGGTATTGGGAGGCTGCCAAGAACCCCTGATCCCAAAGTCAACAATGTGGTTTTGCCAGCAATCGTTGCTGGAAGGGAGAAGAGAGATTGACAGATCGCCATAGTAACCACTGAACTCTAGGTCGTTGGTAGTAACCCTAACATGCCTGCACTGACATGTGCAGCCGAGTGCGGACGAAATGTCCCCCTAATAACAATCCGCACAGAAATTAGTCCTCATTAAGAAGCTGAATTCCGTTGCACAAGTATTCACTGATAATAAAAGTACATGTTAATATCAATTAAGATATAACAAGCTTCTGACACAAGACAGAAAATAAATCGTTAAATAGTGCAGTATAAAAGAGAACTTTCTTGTTATTATCTATGCGCGCGAGTTGAGGACGCATAATTTATGAATGGGGTTTTTCAACCACGAAAAACCCGAGGACTGTCGCTTGGAGAACAAGACTAGGTCACTATAGACTAAGAAGAAGAAGAAAAAGAAGAAGAAGAAGAGGAAGAGGATGAAGAAGAAGAGAGCCGACAAGCAGAGAGAGAGAGAGAGAGAGAGAGAGAGAGGTGGGAGAGACAGAGAACTAGGGAAGGGAGAGATAGATAGAAAGGAGAGGGGAGAGAGACTGAAGGAGGAAGCCTGAAAGAAACATAGTCGGAGAGAGAGGGGAGAGAGACTGTAGGAGGCCTGAAAGAAACAGAGTCGGAGAGAGAGAGAGAGAGAGAGAGAGAGAGAGAGAGAGACGGAAAGTAGCGCGAACGCTATATTTGGAAAAAGCTGGGTTAGGCTGCAGCAAGCAAAGAAGGGGGTATTTCAATACCCGACTTCATGGCCATTTACTCGGGTTTGCGAGCTACGAGGGTCAGACTTAATGGAAATTGGGCAACTTACCGTTCCATCATCATTGAGAGTATTTTCATGGTGCGCTCTGATAAGTACTCTCTCTATTAGGAGACCTCGTAGTACAATGATGGCTTGTAAGGTTCTGCTCACATAAACCTGAGAAAAGTGGTGATGGTAATTAAAGAAAATTTTATTGGATGGTGTTTGGGTGATGCAAAATTGCAGGATCAATATTTGGTTTTATTCAAATTAAGTTTACAGACTTCAAGGTCTACATGTATGTAATAAATTCCATACTATCAGTTGGACTGGCCAACTTTGGTAGTAGAGTCAAGCCTATAAACAAGCTTGGCTTGGATTAAACTTGTGCTATTAGTCCTAACCAGAGTATGGAATTAGAGAGGAAGTTCACCCTGATATTTAGTTGGTTTTAATAGAAGCAGAAAATGAACGGAACAGGTCAGTGAGAGTTTGAGCTAATTCTGATTGAAACTAGATAGGCCTACGACTGTGTGCAGTCAAAAATGATGTCTCCGCCATAGAGCCATTTTACAAATTGATTGTAATCCCTTTGTTCTCAAAATATCATGATTACAAGCTATTTTTCTTATACATGTATGACCCTTTGATGTTTTACCTCATGACCCTAAAATCTATTCAGTTCATTGGCTCTGCAAGATATATACATGTCCTGAGTTTGATAGTAATCCTTCCGTCAGTTCTAATGAGAATGCGTTCGCAAGCTATTTTTGCATACATAATGAGCCCTGTGACCTTTGACATCGTGACCCCAAAATCCAATCAGTTCATTAGCTCTGCAAGATACATACATGACCCAAGTTTGGCAGGAATCCATTAATTGATTATTTAGATAAGGTGATCACAAGAACAGGACGTAAGTACTGACTGACGGACGGACAACCCCCAAAACATAATGCCACCGGCTACTATGTAACAGAGGCATAGAAGTTGGGATCGAAATTGGTAACTCTGTGATGTATCTTGCGAGCTCCCCTCCCATTACCAAAAGAATCAGAAATGTTTATTTTCTATCATAGATGCACGCTAAATATAATTTTTGCAAACATGTTTCTTTATAACCACTGTAAGGAAAAAGTGTATTCCATCATCATTAGTGAAGAAAGTGATTTTTTTGTTGAAAACCCTTTCACCTACCCTCTCATTTTTCTGATTCAATTAAAACCAACAAAATAGAAGAATGGAATTCTCCTTTAAGCAAATTCTGGTAAAAAAAAAAGTATTACGTACCTGCAATACAGTTGGGTTAAGTTGTATCTTGGTGATCTTCACATCATGGAATTGACGGTTAACATTCATGACAAGATTGTCTACAGCTCTGGAATAAACAGAAAGAACACAACAGCAATGTTTAATACACTAAACTACCATGCCAGGGATACATTTTGCTAAATTACTTGTGTGTTGATAAAGTGTTGTACACTTCATACCTTTCATTTGGGTTAGAAACATTTAGGTCCAAACATCTGTATAATTATCTAAAACTTTGCTAAGAGCAACAATATAAGAGAAATGACTAGCATTTAAAGTAGACATTATCTTCTAGAGAGAACTTAATGACAGGCTCTTTTATTCTGTCTCAGCTTTTGTACATCTGTAAGGTTATCTGATTTCCTACATTGAAATGATGTTAGATTTCTTAGGAGTATGACAACTGCAAAAACAGGCTAAAAGGTTATCTGATTTCCTACATTGAAATTATGTTAGATTTCTTAGGAGTATGACAACTGCAAAGAGAGGCTAAAACTGGTTGAAGTTTGTAGTATAGGCAGTTCTTCCTACTAAAGAACTATAATTCGATATTCTGAAGTGAATTAAAATTGCTTAGGAGTATGCATACTGTACAGAGACTGTGAAGAGATATTAAAACAGGTTGGAGGCAATCCCTCCTAAGAACTTTAGATTGAAATTCTGAAATTAACTTAAAACTAGAAATATCGCAATCTGTATTGCTGTGCAATGCAAATATGTATCCCCTGGCAGTGGCAGCTATTTTTGTGTCATCCTTATGTTCGAAGGAGGGACAAAGATCCCCTCTCCCGATCCCCTCTCCCCTCCCTGAAACAAAAGGATGATGTAGAGATTGCCACTAGTGGCTCAGTCTATTGTCAAAACTAGGAGCAGTATCCCCAAAACAATATGTGTGTATAATGCATCTCTGAAGAAAATTTGAAAGAAATCTGTCAAGAAATGTGGCAGTTAGAGCGCACAAAAGATAGCCATCAAAATATGACCTTTGACCCAATAACAGACAGAACACAGTTGGCAGCATCACAAAACACTAAAGATGTGTAGATTTTATTAAGATTGGTTGGAGCCATACAACATTTGAGAGAAATCCGTCAAGAAATGAGGCAGTTAGGGCGCATAAAAGACATTTGACCTTAGACCATATTAAAGGCGGAACAATGAGGGCAGCATCACCCAAATCTATAAGCTTGTAGATTATACCAAGATACACCTCCATACAAAATTTGAAAGAAATCTGTCAAGGAATGTGGCAGTTAAAGCGCACACAAGAATATGACGCGGCTGTGGCGGCGTAACGCTGCTGAATCCAAAGTACCCCTCTGGCATAATGCCGGAGGATACACTAAGAGTATGCTTACTGTGTTGAGATGTTGAGATTGGTTGGAGCTGTTTTCCTTCTCTTTGCTGGACTACCACCGCTTCCTGACGATCGCTTGATAGAGCTGTTATTCAGGAAGGCTTGTGAATGGGCAGAATGCTCCCTTAGCTGTATGTGTGACAAAGAGTGAGTAATGGGTGTACATTAAGGCTGTGCACAACAGTGTAATGAGGTACCCGAGTACACTCCCAGGCTTACAAGCGAATACTTGAATATTCAGACGCCATGTTTTTTTTAAATTTTTTGCCACCACCATACCTCTGGTGCAGTATCCCAGTATCGCCGAAAATGCATGCAATTTTACTTCGAGTTGCAGTTGAAGGCGCCGATTTAATAATAATAATAATAACAGTGAACAGTGCTGTTTTAAAAACCAAAGATGGCAGAATAATCCATTGTCCTCCCAGTTCAAACAGAAATCTGGACATTTGGTCCCAGTTCCTGAGTGGTGAGTTTGACAGTGCTTGAGTTGGGAAACATTTTTACCGACGGTACCATGCCAGTGGCCGCCGCTCTCTCTGGCACGGGTAAGGGTCGGCCGAATATTCAGGTACGAGAAATCGTACCCGAGTAGTGGTCAACCGTGCGCGTACTCGAGCATTCGACTACCCGTCGCAGCCTTAGTGTACATAGATTATAGAATGAAACCTGTCCCGGCCCGGAAGGCCATCCGATCCAATGCACTATTGCCACTACAGTATTTCTAGATAGGTTCTACATAAATTGTTCCTCCCTGAAAGAAAGTGTAAGAGTGACCAGCTTGCTGCTGTAGAAAAGTGACCATCAGTACAAATATCATCAATTACCTCAGGGCTTGTCACTGGTGCATATGGGCATCCAAAATCTAGACCCTCCCCCACCAATTTAACAAATTTGAAAAGAGGCCCATTCATACAGGCCCTGAAATTCTACCTGGACCCCCCTGTGAACAAAATATAAAGCAGTGTGAGTCCTGGTTATCTTTGTCTTCATCTTTTATTAATAGTAAGTGACAGCACTTTAAACGATCATGATAAAAAATTGTTTAAAACCTATGAATAAACAGCAATAAACAGAAATCATAATACCAAGAACATGTATCAACTGCCTTTGCATCATAAGCAAACAAAACTCACAGAACAGAGAAAGGGAGATGTAAAATAATATGAAAACAATAGGATCTGTGTTGGTGGAACTGACCCTAGTAGCCCACTTGTAGGTCTCGAGGGCTTTTGGATAGAGAGGAGTCTTGTCTGTGACTGGATCCATGCTGAGTGCTCCTGTGTTACCGATGGTCTCAGCCTCCCTCTGTCTCCTCACAGCCATCGTCAGCTTCTCCAACTCTCTGAAACACATCAAAGCAAGACGATATTAGTCTTCAACTACTGGTGTTTATATGAAGTTTTCAGTGCAACCAAAGCTATTCACTTACACCTTCTCATATTTAATGCATGAATGATCAATACAAAAAGACCTTCTGCATGAATAAATACAAAAGCATGGCAGGCAAGCCTTGTATTGTACATGATGCACAGACACAGTCTGAGATAAATCCCCACACTGACTACACCTTATCTCTGCATTCTGCAAGCCTCATTTTGTTCTGTCTTTTACCTTATTTTACTCGGTTATTGCTTATAAATATCCAGCCCACAAAACAAATTCAAACTCATATAAAATATTAGTGAAATAGATTGTATTTTGTAATGGTTTAAGCTTATCACACAATAACTCCAGTGAGCTCTGCTGCAGGGGGCCGTTTCTCAAAACCAACTCCATGACAGTCATATCTTTGTCGGCAACCTACGGAGATGTCATGAAGTGGATAAACCGTTTCACGAAGCCATGACAGACATGATATCAATATATCGCGATACTAGCAGCTCAAGAACATAGTCTTTGTCACGATCCATTTGATTTATCACGAATAACCCAAAACAAGTTTTGAAGCTAAAATTGTTAAAAAAGAAGCATATACATATAAACTCTCCTAAAATAAATACAAAATAGTGTCATTATCAAAGGTAGTATATCAAAAGATTTGCATATTTCTGTAAAGATTCTTAAATTTAAGAAAAACCAGTGAGTGTTTTTTTTTTGACAGTCGAATGAAAAGTTAGTTAAGGATACCGTAATGTGATAGTTTATCAATACGTACTTTTTTGTTTATTGTGATGAGGAATTTTAGGCAAAATACCTTTTCTCAGCCAGTTTTTATTCTAGAGTCTCATAAATACTCGTTATATAATTGATTTGATATTGAAAATATAATTTGGAAGAAGTAATTAGAGAGGGAATAATAATGCACATAGGCCCCAAAGGTATGATGGTATCCTAAGAAAAGACTATGGATCGACTATGGACAACGGTGTGTAACATTCTTATCTCTTTTATTTATATGTTATAGTTTAACGATTTGTGATTTAATGTTTATATTCAGCTTTTTAAAATTTCTGTATAATTTGTATTGTCACTTCTTTACATTTGCATTTCGCATCCCAGAATATTACGTACCGAACTTGTCTATATTTTTCTCAAAATGATAGTGAAACTAATCGTACATTTCGCGGCCCATGGAATAGAAACAAACTGACTTGTGATGGCACTTTACAGCAATTAAAAAGATATGACGGGTTCGGAGCAGTGACAACTCATTGTCGCGGAAGTTGTCGCTCATCTTGGAAAAGACGGCTTCTTGAAACACTTAGCTGACAAGTTGCGTGACAGTGGCGAGATGTCGTTGATCTTGTAGTTATGACGGTTTCTAGAAACGGCCCCGAACTTTGCTTACAGCTGCATCGACATAATTGTGTAGGCCTACAGTCTATGCGATATTGTGTGCTGTGTGTATCTGTGTATAGACTTCTAGGTCCCTGCCTCACAGCGTGCATGCAGTGCTAGAGGTCAATACGCATTTAGCATTGACTCTCTTAGACCGAAAGCTTCAGTCTCTATACCGTCGGTTGTTCCACTGAGACTACGTCTGGCTCCACTAGACCTCCGGTTATAGAGACTGAACGATCGCCTATGCCAGCCTATGTTGAAGATATCACGGCTAGATTTTAGCCGTTAGGCCCCTCCCACAAACATGAACAAACTTGCCACGGCCGTATTGTTATGCCCCCAAAATCCCCCAAAATGTCATTTTACCTCGTGCATATCCAATTTTACATTAGGCCTAGGCTATAATACATCGGTTCCACTTACTAACTTGATTGAAATAATCCGTTTAATGGTCCCTTTTAAGGAAATTATGGGTCAAAATCGACATCCATGTTGAAAATCTTGCAAGCCGTGTTAAACTCTCGCTGCCGTCAATCTCATCCCTTCTAGTCTACGCCGAAGGCAAAAATGATTATGAAGGAAAAACTGTGATAACGCCATTACGAACGTGTAGATGGCGCACAGTTTTTCCTTCATAATCATTTTGCCTTCGGCGTAGACTAGAAGGGATGAGATTGACGGCAGCGAGAGTTTAACACGGCTTGCAAGATTTTCAACATGGATGTCGATTTTGACCCATAATTTCCTTAAAAGGGACCATTAAACGGATTATTTCAATCAAGTTAGTAAGTGGAACCGATGTATTATAGCCTAGGCCTAATGTAAAATTGGATATGCACGAGGTAAAATGACATTTTGGGGGATTTTGGGGGCATAACAATACGGCCGTGGCAAGTTTGTTCATGTTTGTGGGAGGGGCCTAACGGCTAAAATCTAGCCGTGATATCTTCAACATAGGCTGGCATAGGCGATCGTTCTGTCTCTATAACCGGAGGTCTAGTGGAGCCAGACGTAGTCTCAGTGGAACAACCGACGGTATAGAGACTGAAGCTTTCGGTCTATGACTCTCTATGTAGGGAGGCCAATGCCCGGGCGTAAGGCTTCTACACCTACGATTTGTGCGCTCGTCGCCCACTTCAAAAAATTAGCAAAGGGAAAAAAATGATGTAAAAATAAAAATTGAAGAAAATAAGAAAAGAAAATACAATTATACATTTCACAACATACCTATAATCACGGATCTGTGTAACCGTCTTTCACCATTTGTTGACAATCTTGCAGATTTTGACGTTTTTTAATCCAATAATTGTGGTTGCAGACGACCTTGACGCACTCGCACCACCGACTAAGAAAATCCTAGAGGGCGTAGAGGTTTGCTCACTAAAAACCTTCTCATTGGCAGAAGGTAGACCCTAAAAATATGGGATCCGTTTTGAGTAAAGAACTTTTGATAGAGATCAACATTTCAGATGTTCACAATTGCCACTTCTAACAACTAGAAAATATAAAGAAAAAAGATTATATCTTTTTAAATACAGATTTTTACAAACTGAACATTCGAAAGTAGATAGAGTACGATGTTTCTGTCAATCTTGCGTTGGTTTGAGCCCTATAGGTACATCCATCTCAAAATGAGAAGGAAAACAGTGAACAGTGACGTCATTGTTCGCGCCAAAAATAAAGGGTATTGCGACATAATCTGAGCTCCGGTCAGATCGTGCGCAAAGCGTAGTCTTATTTATAGACCCTAGTACCTTATTCTCACAGCACTAGATACGAGTGTCGTGCAGTAATGTATGAGAAGTGTTAAAAAAGATATTTCAGTAAAAAAAAAAGTCTAAGTGAGCAGTCTATACTCCAATTGAGAATTGAAATGAAAGCCATGATTTGAAGGTGTGTGTTGTATGATACATGGTTAGTGAGTGTGTATGTTACGTATAGCGAAAGGGAGAGAGAGAGAGAGAGAGAGTGAGAGAAATATTAGTACATGTACGTTGCATGCATGGATGTGCGCTATGATTGTGTTCGCTGCAAGATGGATGTTAATTGGACCTCGTAACTTCTCGATCGTTGATAATAAGGAATACTCATGAGGAAATCAAATTATTGGAATACACATCTAAGGTAAATATCAATGAATTATAAATATTTCTTTCCTGCCAATTTTGAAATCTATTCATCATTTTTGAACCATCGTCTTCGGCTCGTAGTAGTAGAAGATGTAATCGTTCGCACATTGATGGCTGGACTTCAGCCTGCATCGGGGCTTGCCTGTGTCGGTGGAGGGATCAACTAAGAAGAAGAAGGTACGGGTGCGACCGATTCAAGGCTAGCCGCTGTTGAGTGATTGCACTTTCGCGCGAAGTTTTAAACTTCATCATGAACTTTGTCCCTCGGGCCTGTCTAATTATGAACGTAACTCTGCGACATGAAATATAATTGTTTCAAGGCTCTTACGTACGGAAAGGCGTAGAAGGAAGCTGGATAAAAAGAGCTGGATATCTCCTATTTGATGGAACTTCTGGAGTCGGCAGATGGGTGGATTTTCTTAGTGAAAGTAAATGCTTTCTTTTAATCTTAGTTTTAGTATAAACAAATTAGTAATTAAAAAGTTAGATTTGGGCATTGGCCTCCCTACTCTAGGCAAACCCGGACTTTAGTGCCCCAGCTGAAAATCTCAGTTTATTATGGATTTAATATCAATAATATTAATTATGCTAATATATGCAAATATAAACATACCAAAACTTGATGATTTTTAATCATTTGACGTCATAAAAAGCAATTTTAAGCCAAAAATAGCAGCGAAGTAGGGGATCTCCTCTTTGCTTGATGCGAGATAGACCTACTAGCGAACTGAAATAACCGAATAAAAACTATGGTGAACTAAAAAAAGAAAAGAAAAAATCAAACCACCTCTGAAATTACCTTTGAAATGTTTATTAATTTTTTCTTCCGATATGCGCACATGATAGGGGCAGGTTGGGATGGGATGGGGGGGGGGGGTGCTCAATAGTCGCCAAATTTGGGGTAAAAGGGCAACTGGCCTTGGGGGCAGAATAAAGAAAAGAGCCACCCCGGAAAAAAATTAGAAAAATGATTACAAAGAAAAATAAGTAAATAATAAATTTAGCCCCCCCCCCCCCCAAGGCCAGTTGCCCTTTTACCCCAAATTTGGCGACTATTGAGCACCCCCCCCCCCCCCATCCCATCCCAACCTGCCCCTATCATGTGCGCATATCGGAAGAAAAAATTAATAAACATTTCAAAGGTAATTTCAGAGGTGGTTTGATTTTTTCTTTTCTTTTTTTAGTTCACCATAGTTTTTATTCGGTTATTTCAGTTCGCTAGTATCTCGCATCAAGCAAAGAGGAGATCCCCTACTTCGCTGCTATTTTTGGCTTAAAATTGCTTTTTATGACGTCAAATGATTAAAAATCATCAAGTTTTGGTATGTTTATATTTGCATATATTAGCATAATTAATATTATTGATATTAAATCCATAATAAACTGAGATTTTCAGCTGGGGCACTAAAGTCCGGGTTTGCCCTACTCTATGCTTTGCTGGAGTGGTCTATTGTAATGTCTTCGTTATTAGGAAAAAATACTCAAAAAAAGACATTAGAAAATTGACACGAAAGGGGTAAGAAATATAACGACTTTATGATTATATCATGACCATTATTTGAACAATTGATGAAGATTTAGTTGATTTTTGGCATGTTTTAGTAGGCTACTTCCACGCCGAAGTTAAATACGGATCAAAAAATGGACACGAAAGGAACACTAGCGCCAGCTCTCACACATCAACCTCCTTCTTCTGTACAGTCCCGTGTGTTTATTTCTGTGTTATCAAAATTCGTGATACTCACATAAAACTTTCATTAATGAGGAAAAGATCCTCCTGTAGTTGTGAAGCAAAGGACTTGGGCGCGCCATGTTCATCCTGTGATACCTTGATGCCATCTTTCATATGATTAAATGTTTTGGAGACACTAATTCTCAATTTTTGAGTTGTTAAAATGGCTCGACTCAGCAAGTTGGCGTTCTCCAAAGCGGTCGCCATCTCTACTTTTATGTTGTATGCTTAATTCGCGCATAGCGCCATCTCGAGACAGAGGTCTGTATAATGTGTGAAATGTGTAAAACATGGTTCGAGACTTCGAGTTGAAGTGGAGAGAAAGAATAATGGTAACAAGGAAAAGGAAGGTGGTTTAAAAAAAAAAAAAAATTGTGTCCACGTTTCTAATATATTACTTATAATGAGTTCTACGGCAAATACCCCCTGGCTAATTATCAGCGGTACAATGACCCTTACCAGGTACCCACCTTTGAAAACAATTAAACCCCCAGGGAAATTACCCCCATGGGCCTACAGGTGAATACCCCCTTTGACAATCAGCCCCCCCCCCCCTGCTCCCTCCCCCGCGAAAAATGTTCTAGTTTGGGGGGTAATGTTCCGGGGGCGGATTGTCCAGGGGGTAATTGTCCTGATATGCTTTTAACGACTCGGTCCCACACAAACTGATTTTGTTTTTTTGGATATTGATGAATGTATAAAAAAATAATTAAAAAATTTTTTTTTAAAAGGGGGGTGGGGGTAAGATATGAGATTACCAAATACCGGTACTTGAACATTGCGCTATAGTTCTTATCTTTAATGGGGATGCTTTCAGTGAATGAGGGTGGTAGTTTTTGTTATGCTGTGTTTTTAAATTAAAACCAATGATAAGCTTGCGACTACACTCACAACTCATTCACTTTCATACCACTCTCATACATGTGAACCCTTCTGGACTCGGTCAGAGCTAAATTCAAATTGAGAATCATTGATTTCCTACTAGCCACTATCGTGCCTTCAGCTACCAAATCTAATTTGGGTCCGATTGTAGTACCAGGCTGCAGGCAGCATTGAAGGCTGAACTTCTACAATTACAAGGAGAAAATGTAAATGACGATAAGTTCAATCTTTCTGAAAAATGGTGATCAGACATATCTGGCTTTAATTCATCAAAATGGCAGTGACTGAGGGTTGCGATTGGGTTTCAGGTTAGGTTTAGGATCAAGTTTAGGTTGGTTCTAAGGTTGAAATGCAGTATTTGCTTAGCCTAAGAAATTAACTGCAGAGCAAATGGAGCAGAAGGAATGTGTTGTAAAAACACAAAAATAACAAACAGAACAGGCATTTCTAGGTTTTATTTATTTTGCCTTCAAACAAACAATTTTATTCAACCTATAATCAACAAATGTTTGTTTCTTCTCTACAAATCATTCTCACAAATGAGGGACATCCCGATTGACCTACAGCCAACAAGACCGGCATGTTGATCTTGCAGGCTTTCAGTCAACTAGGCTGCCATCCTCACAAAGAAACACAGGCGATTACTACAAGTTGTATCGCTTTTTTTTAATAGCATGTCTTTAATGAACTCCAAACAAACCAGATTGAATATCAATCAAAATAATAGGTTAGCTAGAATCACTCGCAAACAAAAGAGAATCAATCTATAAACAAAAAGCAGAATACAACAAAAGGATTTCAAAACAAGGAAATAAATCGATAACAAAAACAAATAAAGATAATACCCAAACAAGATGAAGTAGGTTGTATTGACAAAAATGTAAAATATCTATGGTCATTTTACAATATCACAATGGAAGATAAATCTGTTTCCTTTGAAAGGACTTGTAACAGATTTATTTGCATTGATAAAAGTTGTCTGATAGGTAATTCATTGATAATCTATTTCTACCAAAAATTTCATACACAATTTCTCATAAAGTTCAGGGGATAGATTGCTATGCCCACAACATTATTTGATCTAAAAGAACTGTTTCAAATAAACTTAGCATGCTTTAAATACTTGGAAATATATTAAGATAAGGAATCATACATTTAAGTATAGAGGAATGCACAATTCACCTCATTATTTTCCCTGAAAAACACTTTTGTGGTTCGAGTACTAAGTGCTTGGCATGATACACATAAAGCAGTACACCAATTTACAAGTAATGAAGTACAGGTGACAATGGGAAAAACTTATTGAAAGCCGTGAGTATTCATAAATTGAAAATTTGGCTACCATTAGTTATATCCTGTTACCATGAAAAGTAACATCGTACATAAGTCCACATTCACTGTTTAACAGAGAACAAAAGTACAAGGGACAGATTTGTAATAAAAGAAAATATCTACCTTGTATTGGAAGGTTGAGGTACACAATATCTTTACAAATCTACAGACTCAGTTGCTCTTGTAAATACAAATACATGTACGTGTATAATATATTGACCAAATTCTTGAAGTTCATCAGCATTCAGCAAATTTCTTTCTAGTTGATGCACTCATATTTAATTTTAATTGTTGACATCTGCATAATTTGTGCTCACTCTGAAGACACGCAATATTTTGTAGATTAAGTTAACCTTCTCTCAAACACAATAGCAATATTTCTCACAAAATATAATACACACACCAAAAAAAAACACACATGGATATACACAAACATTTTCCTTTCCATGGTAAATTCAATAAATTGATCAAGATTATTCACAGAAATCAGTTAACATTACAAAATCAAATTAAAACAAAAATGTCTGAAATGTCCTTTTTTCCACCATGACAATTACTTAGCAATACCATCAACATAATAATTAAGCGGTATAATGCTGCATTATTCTTCTATGCAATAGCTTGACTTTACAAGCATTGTTAAACTTATGTAAAAAAATAGTCACATTTTTCTATGTCACATTATTGGTATACTCTGCAGTATTGTATTCAAATAACACATTATATTTCTTGATACTTCAAATAACAAATAATTATTCTTTAATTTTTCATCACATCATGTCCAAGTTCAGAGGTGAAATAAAACATTCAATATAATCACCTTTGACCTTTCTCACAAAATTATCCAATAATTATGTTGGGTTCTTCTTACAGCTGCCAAAAAAATTTCAGTTACCATTCGAACAAAAACTTTACCTTTTCACAAAATATTTCTGAAATGATGAATTTAATATTTTTTTCTTCCCCTAATGGAAAAAGCACACCAAGGTAAGCAAGAAATTATTTCATGACATCGTCAGATCATGTTTCATTTATCTCAACATGTCTATGAGTCACTAAAGCCCCACTGCTAATTTGGCCTGGAGGAATTAGACCCCCTGCATGGTCATCAAATCAGCTCTCAATTAACATAAGAAAAAGAGGATCATGGGGGACCAATGGTCACTGATTAGGCATTGTTTGCTATATAGAGGGCGCAAGTAGATAAAGTAGTGCAGTGGGGCTTTTAAAGCAAATTTTTATGACACTTTTATAACATTTGTCAGATTTATATTGCATTTATTTGCTCTCAGCAAGGCCGTGAAGGCATCCTATCACTAAGGATGATTGCATAATACTAATAGTGTCAATCATATTCAAGTCTTTGAGGAATGAAACAGCGCACATGTATCCAGCCTCTATCTGCTATTAAGATGGTGAATCAACTACGCAAAGGAAAGAAAGTCAAGATATAACTTTACATTTTAAATAAAGACTAAGGAAAATACCTAGCACCGTTGAGCATTACGTATCATGACCTTGTACCTAGGATCTTATCAAAACATGATTATCAACTGACTCAAGTTTACATTTAAAACACGGATATCAATTTAGCAGAATGAAAGACACAAAATGAAAGAAATACTATACAGAAATCAAAATCTTTCATTACATTAACAGGCCAGGAGAATAGAGAATATGTCCAATTTGAAATGAAAATAGGATAACATGGGATGGAATAAATAAAATGGAAAATGAATGAATTATGAATTCTAAATTCCTCAGGCTTCAAACATTTAATTTCATTCAGTCATTGAATTTTTGAATAAAGTAAGTTTCCTACCATAGCAATAATATTCAATGTGCAGCCAGCAGTAAAGGACTGCATAATTAAATTTGGTAAATAAAATATATAATTCAGAAAATAACATAATTTATTACTTGTTGCACCAATCTTAGACAAATTGTACAAATCCACATTAGAATTCAACAAAAATTTGCCAATCTCCAAAGTTTATTGAAGGAATCAAGTCAATGGACTAACAGAACTTCTAGCAACTGCATTTAAATTTAAAGAAGCTTTCCAGTGAGTGAGAAGTGTGTTTGAAATAATATAACTTAAATTCTCTGAAGAGATATCTAGGCAGGCAGTAGCATTAAATGGCAGTTTGGTATTGTTGCCCAACAAGATTGTTACACACATAGAATGCCCTGGCCCGAATGCCCTGGTATCAAACACAACGTAAAGATATACTTGGTTTGTGTGTTAAATTATGCTGAGTGATTACAAAACGAGGAAACACAAAGTATAACATGCAAGTGTAGACGACCGGCAAATGAAAGGGATAAAGAAAACTGAGGCGAATACTAATACTACCGGATACACTTAAATATCATTTTGTCTAACAGTATATAAAGGACAGGATATGGATGGATAGACTTTTAGCCTTGAATTGGTTTTCATATTAATTCATGCAGTTTTCCTGCGATGAAGCATGAGATCAAAATGCATGGACATACTCACGTTCTGTTCGGCAAGGAATCTAATTCAGCAAGTTTTTGTGAAGCTCAAAATCATAGTTTCGCTGCTTTATTGAACATTAATACTGTGCTTCTACAAGTAAAATGCATTTTAACCTTTTTATGAAAGAAACAAGTATGCTTCGAAATGACAATTTTGACTAACACACAGTCCCTAAATATATAATGCGCCAAGGTGACATGTATTTTCGTACATATTAAACAACCTGCCACATATAAATCTTAAATGACATGATTAGACAACCTGCCACATATAAATGTTCATTGACATGATTAGACAACCTGCCACATATAAATGTTCAATGAGATGATTTGCTACTCGATATTTACACACATAAGTTTTCTCATAAAATCGTAATAGGTTTCACTGCAATCCAGTGCTGTGATATGGGGTATTGGAAGTTCACAAAACATGATTTTCCTATGAAAATCTTGACATCACCATTTGAAAATAAACATTAATATATATATATATATATATAATATAAACTCTAATATTAACCCAAATCATTTTCACCGAAGGTGCATATTCAATTGACATATGACTAATGGATAAGAATATATATGCTATCAAAACTTGCTAATGAGAAAAAAAAGCCACCCAAGATAATGATGTTGCATTGTAATAATCTTTTAAACAGAAAGTGTGGACTCTAAATTTGACAGTAGTAGAATCCTCCTTGTGTTTATTCTTAGCTCAATTCATTCATATTCATATTTCCAACAAAGTTAATCAACCAATTTGAAATAATAACATGTATTTGTAGTACCAACAATTTTTTTGGATAATCATAGCACAATTCAAGTCTGCTTTAATAGGTTATTAAGGACGGTTACCATTTTTTGTACATTCTACCATGGGTGTTCAGATTTTAAGGAATTCATTTTTTTCACCCAATAACAGCTCTCAATAATTATCATAATGACCATTCCTCTTTACCTCCTCTTCGGTGTACACTGTTTTCCTATAAATAAACTTACATGTACATATACACTAACGCAGGGTGGAAAAAGAGGTTTGGCTCAGTTGTGAGGAAGAAAGAAAGATACATGATAGAGGTGGAACTGGGAGAAGCAATGAAGCTTCATATGCTAGCTAATAGATTGAAAATACATCTTCTGGCAAATTTGCTACAAAATCTTTTGTAAATCTGCTGATAATCTGCTATACAGACTTGTGAGTACAGCATGTTTCTTGAAGAGAGATGTATTAGGTGTAAAAACATGACCAATGATGGATGGTGCCCACAGGCATTACCAAGGTGTGCAGTCCAGCCCGGGTTGTGTTTTCCATGCCGTTAAAGTTTCCACTGAACTATTCATACCGGCAATCTGCCAACTAAATCTGACGACCCATGTATTTTACAAGGTGGATAGACCTGCCTGTACAGAAAGGGCAACTCAGAAGAGACGGTGCTTCTATGCAACAGGCAATGATGGGGTTTCAGCGTTGTCGGTGGCGCTCTTGCCGTTGGTGGTGCTCTTGCCATTACTGTGTTTCTTGGGTACCATTGCTTTTGCGGCTCCATTCTGTGGTGAGGAAAGGACGGGTGAGAGAGGGGGAGACGCAGTGACAGGGGCCCTCAGGTGTCGGGCGAACTGGTACCAGCGGTTCTGCAACGGATCGTACAGCTCCACGCTGTTCAGGAATTCCTTACCGCTGAAGCCTCCGACGGCGTAGATCTTACCGTCGACGACGCCCACGCCCACGTTGACGCGGGGTGTGGCCATGCTGGCGACGGGGGCCCATTCCTCCCTCTCAGGGTCATAGCATTCAACAGTGTCCAGCACTGTTTGACCATCACTACCTCCAACTGCATAAACTTTACCTGAAGGAAAAACAAAACAGATATAACTGAATAAGGAAATCTTCTATGATAATATGAAGAACAGCCCATTCCTTATAGACTGCAAATTGCACTGAATATCAACATCAAAAACTGTGTTGTTTGAGCAGACTCCCTTACAGATAAAATGACACAAAAGCAAGATGTACCTAATAAGAATGTACGATGGGTATTTACAAAATTCTCTAATATCACTTTTGGTAAGCTGTTTTAATTCTTCTATTAATTCAATATTTTATTTCTGAAATGCTAATAAAACATAGAGTTTAGTGAAATTAAAATATAAAATTTAAATTCTGCCATTTGATGAAAAGTCTGTGTACAATGACACCAATTAGTGCCCTTTGGGCACTCAGCAGGCAAACCAGTAGATTCTACCCAACCAACCAGAAAAGAAGCCAAGATATGTTGGCGCCCTACATTGTGTACAGGAAACAGGAGATTGAAAAGAGATTTGAAACTAGCATCAATGATCCCTAAGATGATTCTGTTGGGCCCCCCAAGACAATTCCGTTGGTCCCCTAAGACGATTCTTTTGGGCCCCTAAGCCGATTCCGTTGGGCTCCCAAGACCATTCTGTTGGGCCCCCAAGAAGCTGAACTAAGGCAAGGACCACGGTGTCTTACCCTCTAGTGTACAGGTCCCAGCACCCCTCCTGCACGTCTTCATAGGAGCTACGTACTTCCACAGGTCTTCGTCTGGGTGGTACACCTCTACAGAGTTGTAGCAATTCCAGGCATCCGATCCGCCCACAGCATAGATACGTCCTTTAGTGGAACACACCCCAACCTGGGCACGACCTGATGGATAGAAATGAAATACCAATATCCAATGAATGTTCATTCTAAACAAGTATAGAGACCCACTCATTCACATGGGGCTTCCTATGTTCTGTAAATTATGGCTTCTGAAAAGCCTTAAACACGGTTGTCAGTTCCAGAAATCAGGCAAAATTTTGAAAACTGGCATCCTTTAATGACAAAAATCTCAAAATGGCTTGGGAACCCCAAGAATTTGTTCATAAAAATATATATAAATATATTTTAAATATATATAAATATATAAATATATTTAAAATATATTATATAGGAAAGTAAGCATCAAAATTTAAAAATGGCGACATGATGTTAAGTTCAAGATCACTGTTTTTTCTCTCCATTCATAATTGGCAAGTTTTACCCTTTTGTATATAGTTTCTATTTATGTACATTATTTTCAGAAATATGAGGTTTTCTTAGAAAATGAAGCCATAAAAGAAAATAACAGTTGGTAATTTCTTAAAGAGAATTTGATCAATTCAGTCCTTCAAATTCATGCCCTGAATGAAATAGAAAAAGAATGAGCATACCTTCATTGAGGGGAGAAATGGATGACCAAGTTGAGACGGAGGGATCGTACTGCAAGCAATTCTTCATGCCCTGGCTGCCACTAGCACCACCAATTACATACATCTTGTCGTTCACCACGGTAGCACCTGAAAACACAAATTGCATTTGGGCTTAAATGCATTCTGGAACAATACTGGCAAACTAAAGTTAGAGATACTGATTTCATGAATGATGTATTTGTAATTAGGAAGATTATTGTTTTTGCAAGGTTCTAAGTAACATAAGATCACTGATTTAGATATCAAGAAATTTCATGATTGACAATAAGCATTGTAAATACAGAACCATTCATTCAGAGTGACTAGTGGTTAGGCTGTTTATTTGTTGATTCAGCGATAGAAAACCACGGTAGGAAAATAATGATGGTTTAGCTCTAAACACCCCTGAAAAATTGGTGTAAGGAACTCTCAATTTTACTGTCACAAGTCCAAACAGAGATCTTTACCAAGAAGAATAATGTTCTACACTGGTTATAATCCATCACAAATCTCATGCAGGAGCACAAAGTGCCTCTGGAGGATTGTGTCCAGAGGCTGCTTCACCTTCACTCACCATAACAGGTTCTTGGGACAGGCATCTCTGGAGCTCTGGCCCACTTTGTCAAAGTATCGTAGGTCTCGCATGACTTCAGTTCACAGTTGCCATCAGAGCCCCCAGCAGCTAGCAGGACGCCATTGACCTGACAGAGCTGAAAGCGCCCTCTTGGGCCAGACATACGTCCAAGGAACTGCCACTTGTTGGTGGTAGGGTCAAAGGCCTCTACCGTGCTGTGGAACTTGCCCTGATTGTAGCCACCTGTGCCACATTTGGAGAGAGGCAGGGTTGGCATGTTTAAATCACTGTCTTTTTATACGTAGAAATGGCTTGCAAGCTCAAATCCAAAATTGAAGAAATGACAAACATATAATTCTTCAGTTCTAAATTTGTAAGGAAATGTTATCGACAGTTTAATGATTGATTAAAATGTACGAATTATTACTTCACAGAATGATTTCAGTAATTGTCTCAGGGGTATTATCTTTGATTTTTTTTAATAATCATTTTGGTAGCTTGTAAGAAATTATAGTCTGTATACACAAGTGGTCACTTAAGCATGTATGACAGAATAGCTGAAAAGGTCTTGACCAGCAATGCAAGTAACCCTTATCCCTTTCGCGATTGCTTCACTACTCACCAGCAACAATGAGTCTTCCTTTATACTCTGCGATCCCCACAGCAGAGCGAGGTAGGTTCATAGAGGAGAGCGGAGGATGGAGTGCATCCTTCTCAATAGAGAAAGAGCGGGATGGACGGTGTTTGTTTTTGGGCTTGATGCGCTTCTCGTATAGCACCAGGGTCGCTAGCTGATTATCAAGTACAGTCAGGGCCACATAGTGCGCATCTAAACATGGAAAACAAGTGGATGCAAAAAGAAAAAAATTGAAATCAGCTTCGATGTGAAAAATTGCAATATGTTTCTGTTGAATGTCATTGCAGGTATGTAAGGATGATTCCTTACAGACAAAAAGAGGACAGTTTCTATTCAAAGAGAGCCTTCAGTAAAATTTGTAAGACATGATTATAATAATTATGATAAAATTAACCAAAGACCACACTAGTAGAAGTAGAAAGTATTACTTAAAGCAAGAGTTAATCCCTACGTTTGGGGTGTGTTCATGGATGTTTGAACGCATGCGGCTCATGGACTATCAGAAAAACAGACTGTACCGAGCGCATTTATATATTGATATTTTATCTCTTGCTCCTTAATGAAATAAAGCCTAGAACAATTTTAAGTTAATTGCAAAGAACAGTTCAAGTTATCTTGTCACTGTCATTGGAATGTAGAGGGGTGTGGTCTAGTGGATATGTCAATGGACTGTGGATCACAAGGTTTGCAGGGTGAGTCCCGCAGCCGCACTCATGTTCTTTGGCAAGACAATAGTCTACATTTGCCGTTCTCCACCCAGGTGATATAAATGGGTACCTGGTAGGAAGAATTTCCTTAAATGCCAGAGCGCCTTATCAGGGTAGTTTGGCCCTTAACTGCCAGGTAACAATAGAACAGCGCTTAGATACATTAGAATTAAAGGTAAAGATCAGTTTTGGAAACGCCCCCCTCTCAAAAAAATGAAACGAAAGCTCTTATTACCAATCATGTGACAGAATATATTTTGACTAATACGTGATGATATAAATTTTACCGGGAAACCGCCTACTAATTGATATACAGTGTGTATTTGGTAAATTATTATATCTATTTGGACCTGATAGATATCATGCACGTGTCGCGCACATGTCGCGTAGTCCCATAAGCATCTTTCTGTGTACAGTGCTTATAACTTTACCAAGACTGGGCCAAATTTCTTATCATTTTGATGATTCCAGAACCTTGCAGTACACACCAATACTTATATGCTAGATGATCAACCTTTTCTGATTGATTCCACAACGTTTCTTTCACAATGCAATGGCATGACCAGAACTGGTCTTTATCTTTAAGTGCTTTATAATGTTATTATTAGCATTATCATTCACCCTGGATTCATTTTCAAATACAAATAGGTCAGCCAAATGTTAGGAAGCATTTTCTTACCTGCCATCGAAGTTGAAGCAATGACCTTCCACTTATTGAGTGCAAGTTGGGACTGTTTGGGGGCGTCGCCTGGGGTCATGATCAGTTTCCTGGGTGTGGTGCTTCCGTTGCCGACCTGACCAGTGTGGCCGTTCCCGCTCCCGTTCTGGTGCCCGATCTTGATGCTCTTCTTATCCGGCGTGTAGACCCCGACCTTTGACATGTCGATATCGTAGGTGTCCATGACCTCCGAGGAGAGTTCATCGACCTCGGTGATGTTCTTGAGGAGGTTGTTGCCAGAAAGGAGCAGTGTCTGAGGCTGTAAAGGGGGAGTGGTTAGAATTCAGAAGAAAAAAAAACGTAAATAAGGAAAACCTTAGACTCGATGCTATCTCAGAAGAAACTGGCAAATCCTGTTCAAAAAGATACTTGTAAATTCTCTACTATTGCTGTGGCTAAAAAATATGATATAATTCCTGAAACAGGAACAAAAATTATTCTGAAAGTTGGCACCAATGCAGAAAATTTGACCAAATTCAACAATATGCCACTCAATTTTCTCCCCAAATTTGCATATTGAAGGTTATTGTTTGTATTAAAGTACTAGCATAAAAGGGGTTAGGAGGTATACTGTTGAATAATAGATTACACTTCCTTTACACCTCATCTGGTTTATAACATTACACTTTGCTATTATTACATGGAAGGAAGGATTTGAGTAAACTATTAAGGCAACTTAACTGCAGCCAGGATAATACATAGCACTCACCACTTCAGAACCTTTAGAAGAGGTATTATCATCATCATCACCAGCATCATTATCATCATCATTACCAACATAATCCCCATCACCATCATTACTAGCAAAACCACCGCCATCATCATCACCATCACCACTACAACCATCATCATCATATGACTTACTTCACTGATGAGTTCTGAGAGCTCTACTCCTCCTTTCATGGTTCTCCTCACCCATTCCACAGCAGCCTCAAAGATTTGACGGTCGCTCATCGAGATGGACGATTTCGCAGAGATCACCTCCAACTGAAAACAAACAAAACAAAAGACACAATTGAAAAATGGTATTTTACCGCGATGAAAGAAATTTTCTTTGATTAGAGTTCACTTTTATCACCAGAGTATTAAATAGGCTAGTTTTTGCTACTTTAATTTCTTGATAAGACATGAAAGCCATCCAATTACAGAAGTTCTGCAATGACTGCCAACAGGTGTGCGGTATACAATGTATGCACAGTGGGTCACTAATAATCTCTCAAATTAAGCCAAGAAAAAAAAAGGGGGGAAGTTGGAAGACTGGTACCCTCAGATATTAACCTCAACACTGTTCAACATAGGGAGCCACATTTCAAAGGTAAAAGGTCAAAGGTCAGAAAGAGAGGAAAGGAGGAATGTAGCAGAGAAATGTTGAAGATGAGATGAAAGGAGGAAAGAAACATGGCTGTCCCATGTCTACCACACATCAGAATAAGGCATCTTATTATCATCATAGGGTACTGTACATCCAACAATTTTCAACCAAACATTTGGAATTCATTTCATTCCGTTTCTTATTTGAACAGCAAACAATCAATACTGTTCAATATTCAAAACAAGTACTTCTTGTCATATCTTTCAGCCCTACATATAAAACTGGGGAAGATACTACATAATTTGTTTGTTTACTGAGTATTTCTGTCAACTGAACTTTAAGGGAGAAAAAAAAATCACTGTGAATCTTACTCCCGCAGAATATATCCTATGTCCAACTTTGCAATGAAATGGCAAATTAAAACTTAGAATCTGACTTTTAAAAGTTAATTCATAATAATTAATTCAGAATAACTATTAAATAAAAGTTGGTAGCACAGGGGAAAAAGATAGAAATACAGACCTTCATGAATGGAAGTTGGCAGAAGTCAGAGGTACTGGTGATTTCATCGACATTGACTTTGATAAACTGATCAACGATGGACATCAACTCTTCATCCATCTCAGCAGTAGCCAAGGAACGGATTTCTGAAGTGGAAATTAAAAGAGATTGAAAAGATTAGAATGACATTTACATTGTGTTTCAAGGGCTAGGTACAACATGGGTTATGCAATATTTATACCAGGTAATAATATCCAAAAATAAATATCCGTGACCCCTTGGCACGCTTTGGGGTCATAGCAGGATGTAACGTCCCCTTGAGCCTTTATAAACAACCAGGCCTCTCATAGCAGTCAATATATCTATATTAAACTTTTCCGCATGTCCTTTTGAAGCTGTTTTGAATAGAGCTATAGTGTATGTACAATCCAAGATCCTTATTCCTTGTTTTTCTTCTCTGTTGCTAGGCGACATTGACGTAAAGAAATCTACACTGGCCAAGAGTTTATTATCACATGCACTTCACTTTGAATAACAGCTATTTGATACTCAAGATCAAACATGGTTCTTTTCATTACTGTACACATGAAAGTAGGGTCATTCAACACTCCAGCTCCATTATACAACAACGCACAAACTTTTCACCAGGGCTAGCCATTAATCTTTGCTAGTACATGTAGGGCTCTCACTATGAACATGACAGACAAATAAAGCGGACAAAATATACAGTTCCTCAGGTAGACAAAGGAACATCCCTTCACTGCTATTATGTAGAAAGGTGAATATGCATGTGACACCTGTTCTACACATTTTTACATAATAGCAGTGAAGGGATGTTCCTTTGTCTACCTGGGGAACTGTATATTTTGTCCGCTTTTATTGTCAGTCATATTCATAGTGTCTTATTTGTGGACATACACCCATACATATATCATTCCCAACAGTATACAAGCCCTTAAAATGAAAATGTCAGGGCTGACAGCATACATGTACCATTTTGACACTTTAAAAGGTTAATTAGCGCATCACAATGACAAATCATGAAGGAACACAACGATACATGTCCTGGAGCTATGATTAATTTCATTTCGGACTCAATGGTCCGTAACGAAGCTCCTGTCTCCCACCTTCGACAGTAACTGGTCAATTGAGGTCACTGGTTATTACTGACTGGGTCATTCCACAGCGCTTATCATTCAAAGGTTGAGTAGGGGCCAGTTTCTCGAAACCGTCATAAGTCTAAGTTCATAGACATCCCATATATACGCAGGTTAATTCTATAAAACATTTCAATGGGATGTCCAAGAAGTTAGACTTGTGACAGTTTCGAGAAACGACCCCTGGTGTCTATGACTGATTTAAAAACATTTGTTTTTACAATGCTTCCAGTTTTACAAATCTGAGATGCATGGCCCTACTTGTTATATGTATCTGTGATATGGTGTAATATTGAAGCCCTAACAAAATTGTGCTTCAAAATGATCATGAAGTGCTTCTAAATAGTAAAAAATTCTTTGAGTGACTGGTTTTACCATACTATTTTCTCCAGGTGACTTGCTATAAAAAAAAAGTTTGGACTACGGTTTTTTGAAAGTTTGAATTCCAATCATAAATATCTTGATATTCAAACATGGGATTGGCTTGTAAAAGTTGAGGGATTCCTGACTGACCTAAAGGTTTATATAATTATGATTGCAGCTTGAGCTAAATCCAGGATTTTGTTTAGAATCTGAGGCAAAGATACCCAATCCCTTTAACAAAGGACTACATGTATACAGTAGTGAGAGTTAGAACTGACATTTTGATTGTCATCAAACCTTTGTACATTTACCATGACATGTACCATTTAAAGTCATCAAAAATCTTGGATAGACTAGATGGAATTCGACTGCGCGCAGTCGAAAATGATGCCTCCGTCATAGAGCAATTTTACAAACCAAAACAGAAGACATTTTTCGAATTCAAGTTCAATTGTAATCCATTAACAGGTTCTCAGAATATCGTGATTACAAGCAATTTCTCATATACATATATGACCCTTTGATCTTTGACCTCATGACCCTAAAATCTACTCAGTTCATTGGCTCTGCAAGATGTCCTGAGTTAAATAGTAATCCATCTGTCAGTTCTAATGAGAATGTGTTCACAAGCTATTTTTGCATACATAATGAGCCCATGACCTTTGACCTTTGATCTTATGAACCAAAAATCTACTCAGTTCATTGGCTCTGCAAGTAACATACATGACCTAATTTTGGCAGGAATCCATCAATCGGTTCTTGAGAACGCGATCACGAGCTGTTTTTGCATACATAATGTGCGTTGTGGCCTTTGACCTTTGACCTCATGACCCCAAAATCTAATCAGTTCATCTGCTCTGCAAGTAACATACATGACCTAAGTTTAGCAGCAATCCATCAATCGGTTCTTGAGATAACGCAATCACGAGCTGTTTTTGCATACATAATGTGCGCTGTAGCCTTTGACCTTTGACCTCGTGACCCCAAAATCTAATCACTTCATCGGTTCTGCAAGTAACATACATGACCTAAGTTTGGCAGCAATCCATTACTCGGTTCTTGAGATAACGCGATCACGAGCTGTTTTTGCATACATAATGAGCCCTGTGACCTTTGACCTTTAACCTCATGACCCCAAAATCTAATCAGTTCTTTGACTCTGCAAGATACATACATGACCAAAGTTTGGCAGGAATCCATCAATCGCTTCTTCAGATAACGCGATCACGAGCTGTTTTTGCATACATAATGAGCCCTGTGACCTTTGACCTTTGACATCGTAACCCCAAAATCTAATCAGTTCATCGGCTCTGCAAGATACATACATGACCAAAGTTTGGCAGGAATCCATCAATCGGTTCTTCAGATAACGCGATCACGAGAACGGGACGTACGTACGTACGTACAGACGTACGTACAGACGGACGGACGGACAACCCGAAAACATAATGCCTCCGGCTACTTCGTAACGGAGGCATAAAAATGTAATAACCAGCACAATGTATCATTTGATAAAGGTAGAACAATATGAGACCACAACAAGTGACCTTCCAATTTCCTTTTAGCCACCATATCATTTACAATACCCAACTCAATACCATCAAAAGTCATAACATTAATTGAAAAACGTATGGTTTTGATACTGATTTTTAAAAAGGGAAGAGATCTCAATACTTATAATTGCTTGCCAGGGTTTATCGTAGCAAGAAAGAATGAAAGGTAATACTGGAGTCACAGTCACACTCATAAGACCAAAACTACACAAAACAAAAAATACATGACAGCATCAGTCTGTTTTAATAGCAGTGTGATCGAGGTTTAATTTTCTTTTTACTATAAGGTCATTCCAGAAAGGATGGATGTACAGTGCACATTCAGACACATTATGGAGCCACATCATATTAGATTTGAAAACAGACATCTGATTTGGGTTATCACTCCATCATAATAGCAAAAGTAGCCAATAACTGAAAGTAAAGAAAATACTGGCAAAAATGGGGGAGGGGGGGGGGGGGGGCAGGGGTCAGACTTTAATAAAGAAAACTGTTTTTCAGACTTTTCATATTGTAGTTAAAATCTCTGTGATTTGTGTGAGCCAATTCTTATTTTATTCTGTATGAATTGATTTCTAAGATATGATGGATATCACTCTTTAATTAAGGAGGTATAGGATACATGTTGATCTACACTGATCTACACTGCCATATTTCCAATAGAGAATAATCTTTTATGGGGTCGGATCATTTAATGTCCATTATAAATGTCAACAGGACAAATCGTGTACATCTAAACCCCTTTTAAAGGTACTACATGTATGTCCCTTTTGCAGCCAACCTCAAATTCTGTAGAACTTTGCAGGAAGTATGAATATGTCATGTATGTCTTATCTGTGAAATTTAAACGTTAGCAGTGTCCTAATATTCAAATTATGCAAGGAAACCCGTTTACTTGCTTGACTTCACTGTCAGACACTATTGAGTGAGTGACTGGCTTTTTTCTTCTTTGGTAGTAACATACGAGCTGTAAAGGGTACATGAGCATTTGTCTACATCAATAAACCACTTCTTGTGATGGCCAAAATTAAACTGATTGAATCTTTGCGCAGCATAAAACGTATGACCATTCGGTACAATGGTCTGAAAATCAAGACTATTACTTATTGGCTCTATGACACAGCACAAGCCAAGTGCTTTGTTCATAAAACCTACAATTTTTGATATTATATACAAACATTTCATTTCAAAATTAGCTTTTTGATAATGCTAAATTTGCCACTGGTTACTATGGCAACTTAATAGCTCTTAACTACATAGATACACAATCTTTAAAATGATACTGTTCAGTGTTCAGTTGCATAAACTGCAATGTTTTAGCTGTAAAATGAGACCCTATAATGTTGTGTTCAGTCAATGTTGACTTAAAGGTATACCCAGAGATGCCAACTTTTGGAAATCAGAAATAGGGAGGATTTGTAATCGACACCAATTAATGTGCGCGTAGCGCACATCTCGAGCGCGTAGCGCCCGACACATGCGGCCGGGGTCCAGGGCCCGCCTTAGGGCCCTGGAAGCTCTGGGGTTCTAGATGCTCTCTGGTGCAATCTGAGCCTTATTTTGGAGCATTTTACATGTGTATTTAGTTAAATAATTCCCCCTTTTTTTTAAATAACATAAAAATTGTACAAAATGCATGATGAATTACTTTCAGACTTCCGATTACACAGGTACTTGATACTGTATTCGGTCTTATACTTCCGAGACCATTTCCTGGTCTTATTTTGCTGATTTTCCGCCATTTGGATTCTGTGGCAATATCCACGCATTGGTTACGGCGATCCATATGCTGAAACAATCTTTCGCTACTCTTAATTTGTCTTTTAACATAGTGGAATTATTACATGCTTAAGTTAGCAGATGATATTTCTCTTTCAATTCACAGATATATATACTGATAAGCGCCCTCCAAAAAAAATCATAATAAAAAAAAAAAAAAAAAAAAAAAAAAAAAAAAAAAAAAATCATTTTTTTTTTTTTTTTTTTTTTAATAAATCGGGAGGATAAGGATGGTGATCGTAAGGTCGGGAGTTGGGGTGAATTATCGGGAGCCTCCCGATAAAATCGGGAGGG